TGGATTATCTGCGGTTATTTACACGGCGGCGTTGCGATTTGCATGAAATAGATCGGGCTATTTCTTCGCAGTAATTAATAGCCCCAAATTAATTTTTATATCCTTGAAAAGAACATCATTTCCAATTTTCAGAAATGCTCATCTCAAGTGATTCCGAGTTATACCGAGTAGGAAAAATTTTTATTGAAAAACTGCTCCAAAATGAAATTTTTAATCAATCAAATTTTGGCGATTTTCAAATATTCGCCAATAATTCATAGTTATGTCAATAATCCCGTTATTAGATTGAAATCATTTTTTAATACCTCGTATACAAATAGATAATATTCGGAAAGACTTGCTTTCTTTTGCGCTTTTGAAGAATAACGTTTTTGTTGCCCTACTCGTCGGCTTCCTTTCGGCCACTGTTATGGCGGTTGGGGCTCGATACAGTGTTTGGTGATTTTCTAGAAAATAAAAACAGTTCTGAACAAAAAAATTGTACCACGTTTATAGACTTACCCTAAGGTATCTTTGAACGAAGTATGAAGGTAGGGCTTTTTCTAGGCATGTGCCACATTTTTTTATTTCACGCGGTCTCCAGAAAAATTCTCTCTTAAGATCATGCTTGCCTAGAATTTTTTTGCTTTTTCAGCTGGTGGCTTGCATCGAAGTATTTGAAGGTTTTGCAAAAATTTACCTTTGATTGGTTTTTCAAATTGATCGTGGAAGTACAATTAAGAGAACATTGATATTCTCTTGTAGAAGTATTTATAGTAGTGATAGAAGTAGTAATTAATGGTATTAGTACTGGTAGTATCTCCAAAAGTCTGATTTGAAAAACCAAAAAAACATTGATCTTATGGTGGACAGCAGTACAATTACATCCTGTTATGCTACTTTATACAAAGACAGACAAAGTAAATGGATATTGTAGGGAGAAGTTACATGTGAATCACTTCCGTGAGTTAAAGGGTTAAGTCCTCTGGTTTGTATGTTAAGTAATATGCAGGTTTTTATCATTTCCTTGTTATTGTTTATTATGTTCAGAAGGGAGAGTCCTATTCATTTTAGTTATCAGGAAGTCAAGAGCGCAAATTCAAATTCCAATCCTCTGCCAAATTGTGGATCAACAGTGTGGTTGACTACAGTGAAAAATGAAAATATCTATGAAAGGCTTTTTAGATTCTTGGTAAGTAATCTTGCAAGTAGCTCTATATATTTCACTGGACGAGAGCAGGGTAGTTAGCATTAAACATCACCCAATTTTATCTTAGTTAGATTGGTCGCCAGCATTCTATGACTTTCGGATGGCAATTGAGAACTTCAAACTAGAAAAAATAAGTTTATAACAACTCTGAGCAGAAGGATGTGACAAAATGTGAAATACCGTGTGGCTGAATTGACAAAATTCTATACAAAATTGTTCTTGATCATTTCTGCTATCAGCGCCACTGGTCTGCTCTAGCTGCCTAACACTTCCTTGTGAATTAGTTGCAAGAATTTGGTGTTAGATCAAAACAAAAACTTCTACCTGATACAATTGAATATTCTCTTTACCTGTTTGCTGGATAGTAAATGGATATTATAGGGAGAGGTTACATGTGGATCACTTAAGTCCACTGGTTGGTATGTTAAGTAATATGCACGTTTTTATCATTTCCTTGCTGTTGTTTATTATGTTCAGAAGAGAGGTGAAACCCCAACCAATTGACACACCTAGCCCTACATTGCACTTTGTTTGCAATGGTTTTTTTTTCAGCCATTTTGAACTGTATATTTTTTCTTCTTTTTCAATGATCACAAGTGATCCAATGGGCCACTTTCGATATATCAAAATTCTAAAGTGGCTCCGAGGCTAGGGGGAATAAAACAAAATATATTTCACCTACTCATCCTTACATTTGGTATTCCTACAAACTTACTTTGTAACATAATCACCTGATGAGCCATATCTACAAAATGGACCTTAGGCGTGACAATGTGTTCTTATGATCAAAAGTGCAATATGATTGTCAATGACAGTACAAGGTATTTACTTTAACAAAGGCTAAGAAAATACAAATAAAAGCAACATATGAAGCATTTTAGAATCATCCACATTACGGTATTGTATTCCAGTGTACACTAGAACTTGAAATATTTGTTTTTCTGATAGCGTTCTTTAGAGTCAAAACATTGGGTAATTGTTTGGGGTTTCGTTAGATAGGAGGAGCAGAGGAGGCATGCTGGCCATGATAATACAAGCCACTGAGATTCGAGGATAACTCGTGTGAATATTTCAGACCCACCTAAAACTTTATGAAGACAGGGTTTTTTCAGCCGCTGCCCCCAGGCTATAAAATGTCTCACCAGTAAACCTTTAATTGAGTCCATTAGTTTCTGTTTTTTGAGAACAAATTAAAGACGCATTTTTCCACAGCTACTTATGATTAACTGTCAATTATAAAATAATTCAAATACTACGCGCGCCCTGATTGGCCATAAAACCATTTTACATGAACGTATGTAAACACGGTTTTCGTTCCTCTTTTATCAGTTATTTTTATCTCGTGTTCTCCCAACCTCCCGCGTGTTTACATCAGGCTATGTAAACACGGAAACCATTTTACATTTCTTCATTTACAACTATGATGAGGAGCTTTTTTCATGTACTGCTATATAGATTAAGTTATTATTACTATTATGATGATTATTATTATCGGTTAACTGGCCGATTCTACACAATCGACTATTCCTATTTTGAAAAACACGCACAAAGAAGCAAGAAAAACCTGAACAACATTTCGCTAAGCTCCAATTTAAGAGTGATTATTACATGCTGAATAGACTTGATCGAGAAACTCGTTTTTTTGGTTGAGGTGGTACTGTATCATTGTTGTGCCATAAACATGACAGTTCAGAAATCTGCTGGTCTTATTTTCATCTCGGTTCTCTTGAGGGAGTAATTATGTCCTTTCCAGTGAAACCAGTTCACTCCATTAGCAAAGGAGGAGTGCTGGCCACGAAGATATAAACCGTTGAGATTCGATCTGTGACACCCCTTGTACCACCAGGCTCCTTTGAACGTATTGGCGCAGTTGTCTTTTACATTGTCATTATCTTGATCTTTAGTGGTGAACGGCATACCGCGATGCTCAGCAAGAGAGTCACTTGAATTTCCTGACAAAACGAGCCGCACTATAAGTATTACGTTTGACCAACAATGAGCCGTTCGTAATTCGAAAGAAATCTTGAAATATCACATAAGTTATTTACCAATAATGATGTGGAGTAAAAGTATTCTCAGTAATATATCTATGATTCATGTCAAAGATTCTAGGGATTGAATCACTCAATATGCTATATATTGCCAATAAATAAGTTTGCCGAGGCATTCACCAGAGTTGGATTAGTTCGTTAGCTTAACTGCGCATGATCCACCGGCGAATACCTTTGGACTAATCAACGTCCAGTATGCGCTGTTCAGGATTGCATATCGATGAG